ACAGCTCTCAACTTATAAGTAGAGGGATTCTCATAGCAAGATGTGGAGCTTCCAACCGTAGTCACACAGTCGTAGGGAAGTACCTCATATAGACACCGAAATACCACTGAACTTGTTAACCGAGGGCGGTGCCTTGTAGAACACAGCATTGCTCACCTTGTCCCATCTGTCCTGATTCCCACCTTTAATCCAAATTTATTGTTTAACTTGAACAGTTTATAGTATTATACTATGCTAGCAGCATAATCAGTACATATCAAATACAGCAAATGTGACTGGTGTTTTGGCTTTCCATTATTCATTGCTCATTCAACTGTCTAAACTAAATTCATATTTCAATAATATGTTCTAATCTAATAGTGCTGGGTCAAAGAGGAGTAACATTATGTTAAGAAGAAATTGTAAGCTATCAAAAGTTTCATATAAACAGGTTGACCATACAATGATCTTAAATATTGCGATATTGCCAGTAACTGAGTCCATGCATGTAAACATAGCCACTATTTCTTTGTTTTATCGTTGTATGTAATATTGTTGAAAGTGTCCTTAACAGTTGTTTGTCTGTTTTACAGATGTTTGGAAACTGGACATTTGGAACGCTGGTCTTTACAGTCATGGTCATCACTGTCACATTAAAGGTAAATTACACCAAAGCTTATGCTCTCGCAACAAATGTTACTAGTGATTATTTTAATATTTCCCATTATAATTTTTATCCCAAACATCTTGAGCTCGATATTATACTCTGGAATCAGTCAACCAAATTAAACATAATTAATTAATTTAATAAAAAACATGTTTAGGTCCACAGGGACACACTTGTATTTCCACAGTCCCAATATGAAATACAGTATGTTGTGAAGTATTAGGATGATGTCAGTGGCCATTAACAGGAGAAGATTATTTGTCACAGTTGGGGGTCAAGGTCTTTTTTACAGCATACACACCGATTGCTGTAGTTTATTGATGCCCTACCTGTCCATGTCTCAGTGTTTTACACCTAGCTTTATTTTCCTCCCCCTCCTGTGTCTGTGTGTCTGTGTGTCTGTGTGTGTAATGACAGCTTGCTTTAGAGACTCATTTCTGGACGTGGATGAACCATTTTGTGACATGGGGTTCGATTGCCTTCTACTTCATCTTCTCCCTCTTCTATGGAGGCATCATCTGGTAAGAAGTGTTTCCTTATGCTTTTACACAACAGAAATGCTTTGCCATGAAGTTACATGATGTTTCTGCTCAATGTGGTGTGTTATGTCACCTCTTAAATAATCCCTACATTTACACACTCCTGTCTTGACTCTACTGGGTGTGGCTCGATTATTCATAACCTCCACTTGGTTTCATATCACACTGGGAGTGTTTCTTTATTGACTTACTCAAATTTAGCTGACTTGGTCATTTTTCCTTAAAATTTTGTTCTTGGTAGCTTTTTTAAGTATTATTTTTTTGGCCTTTATTTGACAGAGATAGCGAAGATATGCTGGAGAGAGACAGGGGAAGGGGGGAGCGCCAGAGAGAGAGGGGGGACGACATGTCCACGCAAACAGGCCGCAGGTCGGACTGAACCCCCGGCCCTACTGGTATAATGGGGTGTCGCCAGCGTCTACCGGCAACCAGGCGCCCTGTAGCATAGTTAAAGGGTTTCTTTTTCTGTTCTGTTTTTATGATCAGAAATCTGAACAGGGTATTTTATTTTGAAATTTGACTTTATGCTTTATGCTATTGCTGTGTCTGATTTCGTAGTTAGTTAGTTAGTTTGATCTGCTCCGTGTAGCTTAAAATTCCATTAAAAATTGACCTGCCGTGTATTCTCCGTGGACCAGAGTGGAGAACTGCCTCTAGGATGCTTCTGGGACTCTTCTGAAATCCCTGCTAAATAGGATTCACCTACTACAAGAGAGGTGTATAAATTGTGCACCACTTTATTATGAGCCCAATGCTGAGGCTAGGGTTAGGTAAATCACTGAGGCTTTGACTGAATCAGCTGTGATTATCTGGTAGTGTGTTGGATTGATCAGATCAATTTTAACCTCTTCACCGTCCAGTGAACTCATAGGCTGGCAGGAGCCCTTCCTGATAATATTGGACTGTAATTGATATCTGTGGTCTGACATCTGCACAGGGGATTTAATTCTGTGGTACCAGAAAATAAAATCATTCAATGAACAAGACTCAGCCGGCCAGCGCAATTCTTTCCAGTGAAGAGGGCCGAGCCTGGCCGCCCACCTCTGTGCTTGTTTTGAAAGGCTTTAGCTGTGTTACTAATTTAGCCAAAACGGTGCTGTCACTTTCACACCAAACCAAGTTGTTGATGCTGTCCACCACTGATACCACTGGTGATGTTTCCCTTTCTTCTGCAGTATGTAACCGTTGTGTTCCTTCCACTCTCTCCAGGCCATTCCTCCACACCCAGGACATGTACTTCGTATTCGTTCAGCTGCTGTCCAGCGGTTCGGCCTGGTTTGCCATCATCATCATCGTCATTACCTGCCTCTTTCCTGATGTGGTGAAGAAGGTCTTCTACAGACATCTGCAGCCCACCAGCACACAAAAGAGTCAGGTAACATGGGGAGGAGGGGCAGAAAGTAAGAACATGTAATCAGAGAAGACTTCTACAAGTTGATGTCTGGGAACGTTTTTGTTAAGAAATCCAGCCATTCCTCTAAAGTGGATTATGCTTTCTTTGGTAAAAAAAAGTACAAGCTCTATTTCAAATTGGCTGGGATTTAAAAGGGCTCATCCAGCATTTATCTTTTTACTTCTCAGAGGTTTTCTTGTGTTTCACCTGCACCTTGATGGCCCGACACCAAGGTGCAGTGTAGTCACTCTAGTCACAGCAGTTCTCAAATCACTGGTTTAATAGTGTTTTTGTGAAACACTTTTTTTTACACTATTGTGCCTTTGTCCTGGATGTCCACTCTAGGAATGGCAGATGTCTTGTTCTTCTCCAAAGTTGTCTTTTAGTAGTTTTGGTAATCTTTGATGTGTGAGTAGCATCCAATCACAGACTGTAACTTGCATTATTTTAGCTAACTGTGGCTTAGTGACCAAAGCCAGGATCACATCCTTTTTGCCAAGGCCCAATAATGATTTAAAGAAGGCTGAAAGATAGGATCAGAGAAAGTCTGGCCAGGAGAGTATAAGACATCAATCATTGCGTAAATATTGCAGTGGAATCAAAAAGTTTGTCTGCACCAGCATATTCAGAAACATTAAGCTTATTAACTTTGTTAGCTTCTTAAATTTTAATCAACAGGACCAATTAAACAGCTGTTCATTACCACAGTTGTAAGCTAGTCATACTTGCCACTTGCCTTAGGTGAAGAACGCTAAACAGCAACATCTATAGGTTTTTTCATTAAAGGTAATAAAAAGGCACAGGGAAGGCCAAACACATTCCTCTAGTTAAACTGTCTTCTGTGTGCAGTGGTTGATTTAATACTTATTCCTACTTGTATCACAAAAATGGAAATGATATTTCCTGTAATGTGACAAGAGCCTGGAGGGAGAAAACAAACTAAAATGTCACGGTAACTCAGATTCTAGCCAGAGAGAGAAAATGTTCTGTGTCACATTGTTTAAATAGTTCATTATTTTCTCAGCCTCTGTGGTCATGAGTTACCCACTTCTTTACAGGAACAGCATGATGTTCAGTTGCACACCCTCACGCCACATGACTTATTTATGTTCCAATACGCACGAAAACATACACAAACACACAGTGTGCATGGTCACCTCTCAGTAGACACCTGCTGTTATTGTATTGATTTGTCCAGCTGGAGACTGTTTATGTTCTAACTTCCTCCTTTCAAAACTTTCCATCTTGTTCTTTAGAAAAAGGGAACTGCCTTTTCCAATCCTATGTGGTGTTTGTTGTTTCTGCTCTAACCTTTTTCCCGTTTTGCCTGTGTGTGTGTGTGTGTGTGTGTTGTGTGTGTGTGTAGTGTGTGAATTGTAGCTCTGTGTGTGTGTAGTGGTTGTGTGGTGTGTGTGTGTGTGTGTGTGATGTGTGTGTGTGTGTGTGATGTGTTGTGTGTGTGTGCTGGTGTGTGTGTGTGCGCTGCGTTCGTGATGTGGTTTGAAAGGTGCGGTTCTAGTATGGCCTTGATATCTAACCTCCTATGTGTGTTTGTGTGTGTTCTTCCTCCTACCTCTCTGTGTATTCTCCTGGACGTAGATTGTATTCCAACCGCGTGAGCCGGCGATAGGTGATGTATAATATCATCGCTTCTTGCAGCCTCTTGTCCAGAGCCCAAGAGTCCAGCTGGGCATATAATATAACAAGGTAAGAGGAAGATGAGACTGCTTCAGTCTGGGCTTAAAACCTACATCTAAAATCAATTCAAATAAAAGGACGTCTTTATCCCAGAAGGGAGTTGCTTCATTCAAAAGCAACTATGTTTATTCTAATATTAGCATTTTTTTGTCAGCCACTCGTTACTGGCCTCCCTGGCATCTTTGATGCTTGCTCCTTTCTGAACATTTAATTTCATCTTCCATTTGGGTGTACGAATTATTCACTGCATATACTATTATAGTATTATATAATATATTTTCAAAATTCTTGACCATAAGTACTTTTTCTCACAACCACCAGCACCGTGGGTTATTCTACTGTTTGTAATGATTTCTCCAACTCTATTCCACGGAACAAGTCAACAAGTGCTTACGTTTATTGACATTAAGGTGACTTAAAATGTTATAATCATATCTAGGTGTGTTATTTACTTACTTCATTGTCTAATATTTATACTATTTCAGTTTAAGGCTATTATCTCGCATTTGCATGTTCAGCTTATTTTAAAATATAACATAACAGCATATGATTAGCACACAATAAGCATCAGATGGCTCACATTACTTCCATCGTTTATGTGGCTTCTTGTCTCTAGGCATCATATTACCTATAAAAACGCTGGACAGAACCAGTAATTTATACCTTCACTGTTTCCTATGAGACTACACAGATACCCATTGGTGTGAGTTTTGAGAGATGTGTCTATTATGTTTTCTGTAATCTGTTGAGTCGTATTAAAGTATATTACGTACACTATAGAACTTCTCAACTACATTTTATTGGGTACAATATGCATGGGTTAAATTATCATATTTATAAAAAAGTTTTCTGTCAGTAAATTTAAGAATACATTAACTCAGGAATGGTCTTAAAAACAGTCTATAACTTGTTTAAGATTTTTGAAATCTCTGCAAATATAGTAGGTTAATTATTTTCGGGATTAGAAATCTCAATAATGGACAGACGAAATTAACTAAAATGGAAACAGACATGATAAAAAATACAGGTAAATATAGACAAACCTTGTGCTTTGTCGTACAGTAATAATAGCGTCTCCTCCTGTCTTCACATAGCAAAATCGGATCATACACTCTTGGTGCCAAAACATAACATATAAAAATGTATACATGTTCATCCAAAAAGAGTCTAGGATACTTTGATATTTCAGTTTCCTAATCGTGAAGCCACTGTTATACCAAAACACTGGCAGCTACACATAGACCAGAGAATTGGTGTGCTGTTACTGAAGTCATGGTCTTTTATAAACACAATACAGCGTATTTTATGGGTGTCCATGCTGTGACATCGCATGGCCTCGCTGAAACAAAGACCAATCAAGACATTCTATGTCAGTCTTCCTTAAATGTT